CGTTTTCCAAGCAAGTTATCGTAATTATTCCATTCAACCACGAGTATAGTGAACAGCAAAAGTCACAGTACTTCTCAAGTCTCGCGCAATAAAATCAACACTACCGAACCAGGGAATTCTTAATGTGGATGCCTTAAACTGACTATAAATTGGCTCCAACGTGACTTAAACCAGACCCTTGTCAAATCGAGCAGTACACCTAACTGTACCGGTCCACTTCGTCGTGCCCTTGCCTATAATTACGCTACAGAGGGCTTTATTGCCTTTCGCAGACTCGACAAACGCTCGCCTCCAGTTGTATATTTAAGTAAATTAATTGAGTCGAGTTTAGGGTTCTGTTTAGTCGACTTTCTTGCAAAATAGCCAGTCAATGAAGTTGTCTATCTCTCAAAATGGACCAGTCCAGTTCCGTATACCACTCGATGAGGAAAGGGTCTAAGTCGAGATTACTGAGCCAAAGAGACTGTAGGTCTCATTACCTTAGCTAGCTATTATGGGGATTGCGAGGTTTCTGGACAGATTCCAGAGCGTGGATTAATGTATGCAGGTTTCTCACTCTACAAAAAATGAGAAAATCCCATTTAGTGAAAGAAATCAATATAGCAATGATCATAATTATTAAATATATTATATATAGTTTTTAAATCTGTTATTGGACCTAAACTGGACAAAATTGTAAAACCAGTTACAGATCTACAGAAGACTTATTGTGAAACAAGACCAGATGACTAACCTACACACAATGAAGTGACTATAAAATATGCTTGGCTTCACATTAAGGAAACATACGATATATGTGTAATATACTTTATCACAAAAAGTTAAATTATAAAGGAGAAAAGTTTACATCTTTCTGAAGATGACATAGCTTTTTTTGTAAATGAGCACTGCCATTTTTTTCTTTAAACCACAGTTTTGGTGTAAATTAGCGCTTTAATGCATAGATGATGGCCACTTTTCTAAACTTGGTGCACATATAGCTTAATATAGGTAATGGCACTACTTAAATTGTGAGATGGAAGAACTGGCAGGTCCAGGAAAGTAATATTTTATAATAAGGTTATCGCTAGCTTCTTATGTTTAACTATATATATCAACTGTTTTTACCAGAATGTCCCAGAGAGTTTTACTGCCAACAAAGTACAGTAAGATAATGACCCCTTTAAATGAAGACACCAATTGACATAATAGAAAGAATGATGTGTCTGGCTTTTAAATTACTCTTAATTTAAAAACATAAAATGGTGTGTCTGGCTTTTAACTTACTCCTAATTTAAATCAATCCAAGAGCCCATCCAGAGCAGGCCCGTAGCCAGGGGGGGTTTGGGGGGTTCGAAAGAACCGCCCCTTTTGCTGGGAAAAGGTCCACTCTGGGTTAAATTTGATCTTGTTACATGAAGTTTTTATGGGAAAAGGTCCACTTTTTCAGAAAAAGAACCCCCCTTTTAAAATTGCTGGCTACGGGCCTGCAGAGGAAGGGGCTGGGTTATCCTGTTTCTGGCCAATTCCTAGCATAGAGTCATTTTGAATTTTTTCAGCCCAATTTCTGATCAAAAAAGGTTTAAATTCGGTTTCAAGCCAATTTCCAATGTAAAATCATTTGAACAAGTTTATTCCTGTTTTAAAACTGATTTAGGCTAATTTCAGATTAATTTACAGTTTCCAATTTTTTCATTGACAAGCTTACGTCTAACATAACCCAGTATCTTTTACTCAATGAATGCCTTTGCTCTGGAAAACTGAATGTAGCAGCAATTATTCTGACAATGACATGACACGATGACGAAGAGAAACAGACACTGCAGGAAGATGGAAGATAACTTTCCACAAACAAACCTACCAGTCCATCTAAATCTACATGTTAAAATGTGCAATGAATAACATGAAAGCAGCAGTCTTTACAGAACATGTACAGGAATAACCCATCCCCCCATTTGAACACGTACATATGAATACATACATACATAACTACATTTTTACGGCTAACATATATCTGTAATACTATCTTCTACAAAAGGTATGTATGGTTTATGGTTATTTCATCTAATTTAAAACTCTGCATTTGTGTTACTTCAGTACTTTTACAAATTTATAGCATTTTATAGCTTTTTGCAGTTCAGAAGCAATGATGTGAACTCTAAAAAAGACACTTATCTGAAATCTACATTTTTCAAATCTAATTACTTCCACAACTAACAATTATGCTACATAAAGATGGCAAAACACCATACACGTTCGTACATATAAAAACGGAGACTATGCCTATTACCATATACTTATAGCTGTTGACAGAATTAAAAAGTGCCACATGTAGTTCAAACTCTTACCTCAAAACACTGCAGTTTTCCTCAATAAACAAAATTATTATGCCTTTAAAGGTTTGCCATCAGCTTCTGTATATCATGGTTATATATATGTTAGTCCTTCCATTATTTTGCGTGCCAAAAAACCCAATGGAATCTGATAAGAGCCATAATTACTATATATTGAACTATACATTACTAATACTGCCACACATATTTATGCCTGTTATGGTTCTGAAAGCAGTGCGTGTTGTCAAGTCATAAATTTTTCTTCAATTTATCATTGTTAGAAATCCATTTTTCTCCTTCAGTTTAGACGGCGACAGCATTGTTTGATAAATATTGACCTAGGAAGTTGGTTTATCATCAGTGGAGGCTTTGAGAGCTTCGACTAAATGACATCATTATTTTTGATTTTCACTTTTCTCTTCATGAAATTTGTCTTTCAGTTATCATTTATCATCATCACAGAAAGTGATACATTGCTCCTAGTGACATTAGCCTTACCCAACAGAGAAAAATACTCTCTCTCGACAGTTTCATAAATAAAGCATGCATACTGCAATACTTCAGAGTTTATGAAACACACTATGGGAATCTAGACAAAAATGGGTCATCAGTATTATATCACTATGTCATATCCCTTTATATGTATAATCTTTATGCTTTAATATGTACAATATATTCAAATTAGTTCACATTTATCAATTGATCTTAAAACATTAACGTTTATGCAAGCGATAATTTTTATGTCTGTATTGATATACAGTATGATCCTTATTTTATATGTTAAAGTCACATGATATTTACAGCTTCATAATACAGATACACATATTGAATGGATTACATATTAACTTAGATGTAAAAATTACATTACATTTCTCCAAATATGCCAGCAAAGGTTTTTCTTAGATTCTTCATGGTGTCGTCGGTGTCTTCCAAATCTCTGAGTACTTCTTCCTCTGTCATCTTGGGTCTCTGGTTGTTAGCCATGGCCTGGGGGTGGGGGTGGGGTGCCTGTCCCTGGGGTGGCTGTGGAGGTGGGGGTCTGAAATGGGGGTGGGAAATGATTCATTTAATACACATCTACTTTTTACACCAAGAATGTTAATTCTTGTCAGTTTTTATCTTTACTGAATTGTTGTACATATTCCCAACTGATTGTCCTGGGTTTCAGAACTTTCTGGAAACTCTGAAACCTCAGTTACTATACTGAAGATGTGAAACTCAGGGTACTGTCACTAAACACTTAACAGTCATTCATTTTTACAGATTTATCTTTTATGCATTCTATTTTAATGGCATTAAGAAGGCATAATAACACTTATTCCAATATATCATTTTTATAATATTAAAATATATCACAAATACTTCATTGTAGAAATAAGAATAAATTTTGTTATTCAAATTTTATTACAATTTTTGTATATAAAAACACCTTCTGAGCAGTAAAGACAAAAGAATGATGCAGACAATTTTCATAAAATTTACCTTGGCTGATGTTGTTGCTGCATCTGTTGCTGTTGCTGCATTTGTTGCTGTTGTTGCATGGATTGTTGTTGCTGGTGTTGTTGCTGTTGCAGAGATTGTGGCACTTGCGCTGGGCTAGGCTTTGGCGGGCTGACGTCAGGTTTCCCATTGATAGCATAATGATAGAGGGCGCTGGTGCTGGGGGTTCGATGCACAGAATTGTTCACTGGCCGACAATGAATTTGCAATTTTTGGAGAACTAGGTCAGCTATGAGTTTTCTATCCTCCTCTTGGGACTCACCTAGCAGGTTCATGGAAGAATCATTCACCTTAAAATAATAATAAATCACATGCTCAGTGAAATTTATACATTTTTCTTGTCTCTAAAGATCATGGTAGAAATGTAAATCCTTTCTAAACATGCTGGGTTGATATGTCTAATGCCATCCAGTCCCTTTAGAAATGACGTTTTTACCAAATCACTTTGTATTAATTGCCTCTCACATCTCTGATTATACTACTGTTTCAGGTTTTGCCCAGTCACCCTTTCGAATTAATAACTAATCTTATGTCTTGTTCTCTACTGATTTGAGTTAAACTATGCCTAGTTATCAACCCAAATGCTGGTCTGTCCTATCGAAACTTACCTCTATGATAATATCAATACCTACCTCAATTATGTATTCTTTCCCATCTTTGCCCTGAATTCCTTCCACAGCTAGGATGTCCAAACCTCCAAATAACTGGCTGCATTCATCCACCCATAGTTTGAACCTAATAACACATATGAACATATATCAAACTGGTCAATTAGCCACAGTTCACTAATAAGGCTGTCCTAATATGGGGTTGATTGTAGAATACTATATATCACAATCTCTGAAACACTGGCAATCTTCTCCATTTCAATCTCCTCTATCGCAATTTGCCAGTACAACCTGTATTGATAAAGTATTAATGTACAGGTTGATGTGAAAAGAGCCTAAACAAAATTGTTTACCAAACTCTGCCTTTCAGAACTGGATCAATTATTTTATATAAGTTAGAGAGTTTTATCAGATGGACTTCAACTTACTTGTCATTCATGGCAATCTGTTCCAGCATGGCTGAACCTGTGTTGGCTTTCCAGTTACCTGAGATAGACTTCCTCCTGGATACAACAACAACAGTGACATACATGTAGATGAGAAAATATTATTATATAAAACTTAATAAAATAATTGTTACTAAATTTATTTTTATTTTCACTTTTCTCTTCATGAAATTTGTCTTTCAGTTATCATTTATCATCATCACAGAAAGTGATACATTGCTCCTAGTGACATTAGCCTCACCCAACAGAGAAAAATACTCTCTCTCTCAACAGTTTCATAAATAAAGCATGCATACTGCAATACTTCAGAGTTTATGAAACACACTATGAGAATCTAGACAAAAAAGGGTTATCAGTAAAAACTTTTAAATACATTTGGTCATTTTCAGTTTCATATACATTAAGTCAAATCTAATGCAAATGTATATAAGTCTGCATATGTACCCCTCCATAATATCCTTCCCATCCACATTCTATTTTATCACTTCATATTATATGAAAAATTTACAACCTACTACTGTAGTTCTAGTAGGTATAACTCATGTGAACTTTTTGAAATTTTAATTTATTAAAATTAAGTCTGAACTAGAGACGTCAACAAGTTTTACAGGATAAAAAAAGATGTAACAGAGCTAGTCCAGATTAAATAGAGAGAAAAGAAAGGGCATCCTCACATGTATGCCTTGTAATTATTTCCTATTTTCTGTACATGGATGTCATATTTGCCGTCTATGTAGGGCTCAGTGGTGGAGTAACAGTTGGTGACAGCTACCACACTAGCCACATCTTGGTAGTCATAGTGATTTTCACATTTAATCTATAACAACAGGTGTTCACTTAAAACAAGGAAGTTAACATCGCTAATGATTTTCAAATTCAGTCTAAAATAACAGGACATGTTTAAGTAAAACAAGGAAGTTTAATTCCCAACTTATTTCTTTGTTTAAATAAAGAAAATCAACTAATTTTGTTTTTTTTTGGTTAACTGACTTTCAAGTTTGGTCTGAAAATTAATGATAACAGTAATATGTAATTTCAAATAAAAACATGACACTTTTTTACAAATTAAACAGGAACTTGAGAAAAAAGGTATAAGTTTAATAGTCTTGATTAATGAATGATAGTAAATTTTTCATCTATGACTTGTTCATCAATTTTTTTACAAATTAGTCAAATATACAATGTATCATGTATGTATTAAGACATATCTTTTTTTTGCAAAATCTGCATCTTACATCTACATTTCTTAACAAAAAGTTCTGTTTTATCTCTCTGTCTTTCTATATAATTCTTCTAAGATAAAATATATTTGTTACAGAAAAAATATGCACATGAATATTGAATTCTACGGTGTAAATATTCAAACTCAGTACTTACTTTCCCTACTCCTTGGTGAGCATGACCTATTTTTACTACCACAGGAAATTTGGGGGTCACCAGCTGAAATGAACAGACAAATCTTTAATATTAACATTATGAAAAATAAATCCCATTTGGAA